ATTATTGAGCTAAATTCGCTGCGTTTCCATTAGCTCTGAATTAGGTCACCACAGACATGACATGTACTGCTTTCTAGGACTTTGAACAGAGAGCAAGTGAGCGTACAGAGGCTCATTGTTAACAACACTCAACAGCAACAACAGCTCAGGTCGAAGGTTTCTAAAGCCTCCTATTAAAGCCATTATAGAAAGACTGAGTATCACCTGGAACTCCGTGTCTGTGTTTCATGATTGTTGTTTCTGTGTGTAATAGACCTTTTTCCCAGCAGCCAGTCTGATATGAAATGGAAGGTAAACACAGGTGTTAGTAATGACATTAATGAAGCTTCGTCTTTGTTTAGGTACAGAGACTCAATGGATGTGATGACTAGCACCTGTGTTTGCCTCTTATTTCATGTCAAATTACTGCAGGAAGGTCTATTACTGTTGTTTTGAGAAGGGTAATGGCAGCGATGCATTAAGCCAACCGTCAGTTAAAGGCAACAGTGTCACACAACAACCTTTCGCTATAGAACTTAACACAATGTTCAGCAGATTTAATGTTGTGCCACACATTTGCTGGTAATAACCGCAACGTGCTAGATGAGTTTGGTTATGTATGAATCTCTCTGTACGCCTCTTGTCTTGTGAGCAGTAAAGAGGGAATAAAAGAGCAGGAATAAAAAGCATCTCCTCTGCCCTGCCATCATCTCAGTATGTGTAGGTGCTCGGTTACTTCATAGAGCCTTCTAGGTAGGAGGACTGTATAAACAGGGCTGCTGAAGCTTTGTGCTGCAAACTGAAATTCTCAAATTTCATTCATCCCAGGAGAGGTCAGCGAGAGCTTTGATGTGTCTGGTTCGGTCAGGATCCATCCACACATTATCTTTTAGCCTGAGCACATTCATGTGATTTTGTCCTCATATATTTCCAAGTTCAGACAACGCAATTTTCAGTCACCACTGTGCAGTTCACACTACACAACTTATTTTATTTTGATGTAGAGCTAGCTAGAAATTTAGTTAGAGGCCTCATCTATATGTGTCAGCTCGGGCTGTCAATCTTCCTCTATAATC